TCAGAGTCCAAGTGCAAATAACTACATTAAACAACAATTTATTTTGGTACAAATAGTATCAAAAATAAAATTAAATGTTTTATTTTTGGAATGAAATATGGTGAGAGTGACATTAGCTGCCAAGAATCTTGGCAGCCAAGTTTAATAGGGTTAAGGTATGCCTGGAAGAGAGGAGAGAATAATGTACAAAGTATAATACCTACTCAAAAATAAAGTGTAGAGTTTTATAGAACATATATTTGTGTTTTATTTTAATTTGTTAGGTGTCTGCAGTTACAACATAGTATGATGGTCAATTAAAGTCATAATTTAAGTTTAGCAATGAAAAAGTGCTTGATATTCTAGCTTTTCTCCTACTGGGTTCAAATCTCATACTAACTAAAATCCATTTACTCATACATGCACTTGCATATTTGTGTATGGTAAACATTCATGAAACACATTAGACAAAATACTTACGATAATTTGAGCACCTAATTCAGAGAGTAAATAAGACCATGAATGAATTGTGAAAACAAAGTACTTTGTTTCATTTTAAATGTAAGTTAAATCTTTGTGATTTGAATAGTTCAGGAAAGCTGAGTGGCTATTGCAATGTACAGTGGAGAAGCTAGTCAGAATCTAATTGTATATTTTTGTTTTCATATTAATGAAAGTTTCAAAATGTAAACTATTTCTGATTGAAAAAAAAAAGATACTCTCATTCTGTGTAATAAAAGTCGCAAAGTTTAAATTTCTCTTTTCCTTCTTATCACATATTTATAGGTGTGAAATCAATAAATTCAATGAGAACATTGGTCACAGCTGAGGTTACTAGGGTTAGGAGAGGAGTTGCCAACTTTTTAGTCACTGAAAAGGCAGCTAAAGTGTAGGTTATGCTGCATTCTATTGCATTTCATTCCATAAGACTTCTGCTACAGTGATTAAACTGTGGACTGCACCATCCAGTATAGAGTTCCATGTGGAATAATGTTCTCAAAATGCCTGAAAACAGATGAGTTTGCTCACAGGGGGAACAGCACTCAACCATTAGATGTAGGTGGCAAAGTTTGTGTAGAGAGGTCTGCCAAGACAACTGCAGCAGAATGTACTTGCTTTTTGATAGTAACTTCGAAACCTGTAAGCTGATAGTTTGAAAATTGCAGTGCATGTTGGGAATGTTGGTTTCACCAATTACCACTTTTTACTGGAATTTGATCTTCTCTGGATAGGTTGATCAGTTTGATATCATTGCTTCTTTTGTTTTTTGCTTTTCTCACTGTCTTGAACATTCTTTTCCTTTTATACATCTTGGAGGACATAGTTAACACTTTTACTACAGACATCTGTTTCCACACGTCATGAGGTTTTAGTCAGTTACAATCAAAATTTAATTAAACATATCATATGTTTAATTATATTCTTATCGAAATTTCCAATAAGAATAATCATATTCTTATCATATGTGAATAAATTTGGTATAATAATGTGTCTAATAATCCAAATTATAATCTAGGTTTTAAGTTCTTAATTTTACAAAGCATTTGATCTCTAGATATCTCCTCTTCTCTAATTTATTTAACACCCCTCTGAGAAGTACAAAATTTAACTTAGATTACTCATTATAATGTTGTCTTCACTCAGACAAAGCATAATTTTTATAGCTTTCAATATTATTTGGTTACAGAGCCATAAAATAGAAAATCAGACTCCTTTTGCCACACCTACCTGTCACATTCTCTCTCTCAGAAATTGCTAATTATTTTCTCTACATTTAATACTATATTATTTATATATTTACAATAGAAAGTCAAGGTTTTACTCAATCAATTGACATATTATATTACATTGTTTTTGGTACAGAGAATTGTCTATTTTGCTTCCAGTTCAAACTTTAATCCCTCAGGGAAACACATCAACGAGCATAGCTGAATTTTTAATGGCTCTTATTGCATAGTTAGAAAGCCAGAAAAATTGTGATAGTTATGAGACATTGTTAGCTTTTTGTATGTTGTTATTCTGTCTTCTTCGGTCCAGTAGTACCATTAGTATAAAAAAAAAAAGAGTAGGGTTAAGTGTCATCAACAGTAAACAGCAAAGAAAAAGGAGACCCAAGTTAAGTATACTTTATTTCTTGTTTTTCATGTGTATTCTTTATTTATTATTATAAAAGTAAGAGAAATGTCAAAATTAGAAACTTTTGGTTAGATTAGGTAAAATAAAGAATAATAATAAATAGTCGTGTGGTACTCCCGTGAGTAGTTCATGCATTATATAATTTGATAGTGTAATGTGACATACAGTTTCATCAAGTGATTTACAACGTATATGGTTCAAATATTAGTTAGACGAGGTTCAAAGGGCAAATAAAACAAAATATAAGTATACACAGGTGTATACTGTTACAATTATAAAGCTATTTAATATAAGCAAATGTAGTTTCATGCTTCAATTTTAAGTCATTCTAGAAAGAAATAAAAGGTTATTTTGTGTGTGTGTGTTTGTTTTCAAGGTCAGTCAAATTGAAACTTATTTAGGAGGTTTTAGAGATTATGCAAATGAAATTTGAGGTTTTTCAAATGGAGAAAAGTAGTTTTAATCTTGACATGAAAACCACTTTGCACTCAAAGCAGTCAGCACTTTGTGCAGAAATTTTTAGTGATTTTTAATGATTACTGAAAGCTTGTGAAATTTCATGAAGATGCACAAAACATATTTGAAGCTATAGTATAGAAAACTATAAAGGCCAATTTGTGGTCAAAAACTTGGCTGAATCAACCAAGCCCATAGTGAGAGAGTTAACTTGAATATACAGCCCACTGTTGGACTGGAAGACTTAGATTGGCATACTACTGCTGAACACTAAATACGTGGAAGGAAATAATCTTCCAGTTTCCACACCAGTGGAAATGTATAGGCATCTGTAGGTCCCATTCTACTGCCTTATAGCCCCAGATGATGAAACTGAAAAGTTGTTTAAGGAACTGAGTGTTAGCTCTGATTTTGACACTCCTTGGCTCTCCTAGAGATGAGCAGTCATCGTGCACACTGCCTGCTTTGTCCTCTGGTGATCCAGGTGCCTCCTGTTCTTGAGGGGCAAACTCCAACATTTCCACAAACAAAACTTAAGTAACACCATCCAAAGATTAACAGTCCTGTGTATCACCAAAAAGCCACTGATATATAGCCTGTGATAATAGAAGTGCAAAGTCTGTCACTTACACAAGAACAAACTCTGGACCCATCTATGAAGGGATTACAGCTAGAAAAATCTAAAGAATGACTATGCCAACCTGCTGAGAAGGAGAACTACAGTTAAGTTCCTTTGTGCACCAAGTGAAGGTTCTCACCTGATAAAGAAAGTCAAAACAGCTGAAAAATGCAAAGGTGCTAAAGCGAGACTTGACTAAGTCTACTTTAACATAACTGACTTTGACCACCTTATCGTCTCTCTCTCCAGCAGACTAGGGACTCTGGAGCTACCACCAAAACTTCCAACTACCGTATTGGAGGAATTCAACACCAAGAGGATGGTGTATTGGTATCATCACTGCAAATCAAAACATTTTTTTGGATAGACAACTGGGTTTTGACCCTCAGGGAAAAACAGTGCCATTGGGAAAAGGAGATAAGTTATTCCAGGGAAGCAAAACAAACTTCACAAAAGAAAGAAGAATTTGCTGACTGCCAGTGGATAAGCTGATGGTCATCAAGTATATACCCACTAGAGTATAATATTTATATATTTGCTTTTTATTTCTATGCATGTTTAGTCTTTCTTTACATTTTCATGCTTTAATTTTTGATATCTTGTGTATATAGTATCAGTAGGTTATTATATTAATAGGTTTTAAGTTTTTCAGACTGTCTCCAATGACTTACTATAAGATTCAACTAAGTAATTTTTAGTTGTTATTTTTAAGTCTCGCTTGAGATTTGTATTTTCTTACGTGCGAGTTCATTTTAAGGTTAATTTTGTATTATACTTCATTTAATACGGGAAAGATTTTACTTTGCTTTCTTTTGTACTAGTAATGATTTTTTACTTTTATTTACTCAAACTTGGTTTCTTTTTATATTGTAGTGCCCTTTTTTTTCTTTTTTTTTTACTGTTATAATTTAAATTTTAGTTTTTTTATTGGTTGCTCATAATTCCTTTTTTTCTTTTCATTGCATGATCAGCAGGTTGTGTTTCTTCTTTCTTTACATTTCCGTTTGTTACTTGTTTCCCACTTTTTTCACATTTTCTTCCCAATATATATTTATTCATTTTGATTTTTGTAATGCTTTCACTATGTAAGGTATTCAATCAATGGTTTGCTATTTATTTATGTATTAGTTTTGTCATTTGAGATTTTTGTTATATGAATTGTAAATTTACATATTGAATTAAATTCTAGTCTTTTATTTTTGTAATACTGTATTTTGAAAGATGTTACTTATTTAGTGTTGCAGTTGTGTGTTAATGAGGCTGTTAGTTGTATATGATTTATCTAGTATGTTAACATGCTGTGCATCCTCTACTTTTTTTGTGTTTGTATCCAGTGTGACAAGTTGTGACTTTTGGGTGATTTTCTGTGGTTTGCATTGTAACTTTTAAAGTAGTGTTAAACTTAAATTTAGCTGGAAGACAAGCGTAAGATATAGGAGTAAAGGTTTGTAGTATGCAAATATTACTTATTTTACTCTCCTTCATCTTAATAAGATTGTTTTGAAATCTCTCTTTGTTCTAGTCTAGAACTTGCTAAATCTGGTTAAGGTCATTTGCTGAATTGAGCTTTAAGTATTATTTTCTCTGGTTAGTCCAATCAAGGAAGTTACCTAGCATTTCATGGGATAGTCCTAATATGTACTACTTTACCTCATGTATGGAAAACCACTTTGTGGCTGTAATGCAGGGCAGAGATATTTTTGCCTTCCAGTGCCCATTTTCTGATTGATCAGTTACAGATAAAAGTGTTTTGTGAATACTGTTGTATTACTTTCAGGGCAGGTTCCTCCGTCTTCAGAGAGCCTAGATTTTCTTGTGAAGTCTCATCTGTGTGATTATTATCACTGCTGCTTATCATTTATTTCTCACTATATATACACGTTTATTCTTCCATTCACCTTTATTAATAGATCATT